GCATATGGAGTTCCAGTGCTCGCTGAGTCGTGGGTTCCATTTCCCTGATCTTCCCGGGCCTCCAGTGCCGCCACTTCAGAAGCTCCGGCTGTTGGAGTGGGGGTGGGTCATCTCGCGAGAACCACCTCAGTTGGTCCTGGCGGTCCCACTCATTCTCCAGCGGGGAAAAGTTCTCGCTGAGCTTGCCGTCCGCAGCCGCCATGAGGAGGAGCCATAGGCTATCCCAAAGGTCGGCCAGGTCCCCCGCGGACAAAGGCTGGGGAAGCCTGCCCGCCGCCGACGCCACCAGGCCATTGAAGTAGTCCGTTGGTACCACTTGGTCCGCCTGGTCCACCGGAATGCCCGAGAGTTCCAGGACCCCGCCCAGCTGCCTCCCCTCCTCCGCCGTGCCATGGCGCAGGCACATCAGGACCAGCAGCTCCCCGTCTGTCTGTCTCGGGGAGATAGACTCATCCGCCAACGTGTCCCAAAGGACCCTTGGGATGCGGTCCCAAAGACGAGTGTAAGGCGGGCGCAACAGAAACTGTGTAGAGACCCTAGCCATGCTGAAAACAAGGGTTCGGGCCTCCTATCGAACGGCCGGGACTACACCGCGGCAAACTGCATGAATGTTCCAACCCCACAGTATGCCGAATGCACATGGGGCAGGCAGGCCACACGCAGCCCAACAGGGCCCAAGAGTCAAACCCCCCGGAAATCCCCAACAGCCCAAAACCCCCAGGGGACCTCAGGGAGCCCAGAGTCGGCCGCAGCCACTTTCTTCAAACCGTGGCCGATACGGCCCGTCCTTGGGGCAGCCAAATTGTGCAGCCTCCGGTTCGAGGCAACCGGCAGTCGTGGCGTGTTGAAACAGGGGGGGAAACCAAGGTGGACAAAGAACCCCCAAAATAAGGGAAACACCCCAACACCTCCCCCCACCCAAGGCGGGGCCAGAGGCACCCAAGTCCCGGTGGGGGGAGAACATATTACGCCACCTCCAAAAGGGTAGTGAGACACGACCTAGCGGCTCTCACCCTTCAAGATCGCCTCCTTTGCCACCGAGTGGATGGCCGCCAGCCCTGACTTCTCTGGGTTGCTCAGGATGACCGACCACAGGGCAGTGGAGACATCCCCCAGGCCGTTCGAAGAGCTGAATCGCATGCGCGGGGTGCTCGCATCTCCAAGGACTAGCCGCTCGTCCCTGGGGGGCTCCGTCGGCTCCACCCGCTTGTAGAACTCCATCCTGTCCCGGATCCACTGATTATAGAGCTGCTCCGGGGGCTCGTCCATCACCAGCTGCAGGCAGGTGGCCTTGTCCTTGTGCCACCCCGTAATCTGGAGCAGCCGGTCCCCCCCCGGCTCGCCTTCCAGAAGCCCTTGCAGAACCTGCACATGTAGCCCCCGGTGGTCTTGAACTTCTCCTTGCCCACCACCTCCCATGCGCTGATGCTGGGCAGGACGAGGCCGCACTCCACCGAGGCCCAGAACACGTGCTTGGTTCCCGTCGGGAAGTGCTTGTTGATGTACTTCTTGCCCGCAACCGCCGTGACAGTGGACGTGGTGATCGGGGGGTACCTTCTGGTGCCCTGGTCCGGCGTGCGGAGCGTAGTGTCCGCTCCCGCCAGAATCTTGGCCTTGGGGTCCGATTCCTTGGCCGCCCCGCCCCCGGGGCCAGAGGCACCCAAGGGGGGGGAGCAGCCCAGCTGCATGATCAGGTCCTGGGAGTAGCCCAGACGGTCGTACAGGGCCCCCGCCGCCTCCTGCGGGACTGGCTCCACCCAGTCATGGACCACGTTGCAACGCCAGTTGACCTTGATCTCCACCATGGAGGACTTACTGAGGCCTGCCACCAGTTTGGTGTACACCGAGTCAAAAGCCCTCAACGATGACAGCGGGAGTGTGATGCGCTCGTCACAGACCGCCCTGAAACGCAGGGCCTCCTTGCTGTTAAAGATGTAGCTCCATTCCGCCTTAGTGCGCGGCTTGGGGATTCCCAGGCTCTCCAGGAAGGGGACCGCCTCCTTCCGCATCTGCAGGATGTTCCCCATCCACTTGTCCGAAGCCGAGCCCTCCGCATTGCGGCCCCGTCGCTGCGTCTTCACGACCAGCGGGAATGTGGTCCAAGCCGAGTAGATGTACTTGAAGGTGAGTCGGTGCCGTCAAGCTCGGCAGGTCCCACGTGCGAGTCTGCCTTGTCCAAAACACACCATCGCCCTTAGCCCAGAAGATCCCCACCACCTGCTCCGGCGCCGGGCGCTCCCCCCGGTTCACCTGCGCTCGGATCTCCAAGGCCGAGTAAATGATCGGGTCGATGTGGTCCCGCTCACACGTGAGTGGGTGGGGGCCAGGAGCTCCTCCGGCGAGAGCTTGAATTGCTGGTCCGCGCCCTTGGGGATTTCGCCGCTGGAGTGCTTCTTCCAGATCCCCCCAAACATCCGTAGCTCCCCTTGGTGCCTCTTCATCGCCCAGAGGAGCAAGGACAGCTTCCCCTCCTCCGAGTCCAGGTCCTGCGGTGGCCTTGGCTGGTCCCCCCCAGGGCCAGTGGCACCCTTGGAGGGGACCGGTGTCGCCAGATCGGGCATCCTCCAGCAACGCCTCCTGGTTCCACGGGTTCTGTGCCTCTCTGAGCCTCCGGATGTAGGGGACGTACTTCTCCTTGATGTCTGTCCTCGGGGTCATCCAGCTCCAGGGGGCAGAACAGCCCCCTCTCCAGAGCCTGCCTGAGATCATCTGGCCATGCCGACACCTCCAAGGGCTGGAGGGTGTGGTTAATCCATGCCTGGTTGGTGTGCTGGGTGCGCTTGTTCGCCTCCTGTGCCTCCTGAATGGAGCCCATCGCATCAGCCAGTGCCTGGCTGGCGTCGACACCCTTACCCTCCAGGTACTGATCTCGCAGCTTGGCCTTGAATCGCTCCAGGTTGACCTTCCTGAGGGCCCGGGCTCCCTCATTGGCCACCTCCTCTGCCGGCAGGGCCTGCATGCCCTCCTGGAGAGGCGCCAGGATTGCCATCTCATTGTCAAGCATCTCATCCGTGACCAACTCCTTGTGCCGCTGCCTGGCCGAGGACTCCTCCGGGGTCGGTTCCCGGTGCTCCCTCAAGGCCTTGTGCAACTCCTCCTTCTTCCGAATCGCCTGGTCCACCTGGGGGTGGTAGAGCTGGAAGCTCTGAGCCTCTGCCTCCTGCAGGGACCGCTGCACCTTGACCTTGACCTCCTGGCGCTCCCGGACCTTCAACGCCTCATCGTCCGCCTCCATGGACAGGATCTCCTGCCGGATATCCACCCGCCTGTTAAGCGGGACCACGTCAGCCATGGTGATCTCCTCTGCCGTGTCCGTTTTCGGAGGAGCTCTCCCCAGGATCGTGCCGTCCACCAGGTTGCGGTTTGCCTGCGCCCGGGTACCACCGGGGCCAGCGGCACCCAGGCTTCCCCCATCCCGCTGCTGGATCCAGGTCGGCTTGCCCTCCACAATGAGCAGGTTGTACGTGACGCCGTCCGCCTCGTAGGTAGCCGAGGGTGCCTGGAAGGGGACAAACTCCTTGCCCGGGCAGACCCAGCATTGATTGGCTGCCTCCGGCCACCCCGTGCCGCATGCCTTACACATGAATTTGTAGTCGGAGTGGCCGGCATCGAGTCTGTGCATCCGCTGGGTGCCAATGCATGCCTTATTCCGCTGGAACTGTGAGGCCCAGACCTCCTCCTGCCGGATCTGGATCTTCATCGGAACATAGGCCTCCAGGATGCGAACCACCAAGTCCTCCGTGAGATTCTTACCGACAAACTTGTGGAACAGGGAGACCGCCTCCTCCACCGTGACGTCCCTCAGCAACGTGGCCGCCGATGCCGGAAGAACCGGGAAGAGGTCTGGGAGGTCCACTAGCTTGAAATAGCCAGGACGGCCATCCACCGGCACCAGGGAGACCGGTTTGTTCGCCGGAACCGTGGTCTTCTGGGAGGCCGCCACGAAGCCCTTCAGCCTCTTCGTTGGTGGAGTAGCCCGCTCCGTGGTGACCGCATCGCTCATCTCCTTGTCCTCGTCCTCGGCGGGGCCAGAGGCACCCAGGCCGGGAGTCGGTGTGGAGAAGGCCACACGGAGCCGCTCCAGTGCACTGGAGAGGTCGTTCATCACATCGGTGGCCGATGCCGCCGGGGGCGCCTCGGGCTCATTCAACACCAGGCCGGCCGCCACAGCCGCCTCGCGTGTGCGGACTTCCTGGGCCTCCTGGCTGGCCATTTCCACCTCCTCCGCGGTGAGTGCCTGGTCCTCAATCAACTCGAAGGAAGTTGCCGAAGTCGCCGAGGAGGCCATTGCTGGTTCGGGGTTAGTTCGGAAGTGCTACCTTTCAATTTTTACACAAAGTTGGGTTCAGAGAACCCAAGATCCAAGCTTGAGCCAAAATGGCCGGGGCCATTATGGTCAAGCATTTCAAACACAGTTCATGTTTCCACATGCGTTTCAACATTAACAAAATATATGCGTATATACACATGTATGCATGTAACTATGTATTTTGGGTGCCAGGGTGGCCAACACAGAAGCTGTCTGTTTCACTTTGCCGCGTGTGCACGCGCATATCGAGCCACGCCCAGAGCTGCGCGGGTGCGCTTGCCATGTGGCAGGCGTGCGTGCAGTGCTGCGGCGACAGGAAGTGGTTGTCCGGATCATTGTTTTGGGGGTGGATTATAGACCGCGTACCTATGCAATGTATGGAGTGTATGTAGTGTATGTAGTGTATGTGATATAGTTATGTGTGAAAGTATGTATGTAAGCAAGTATGTATGTGTGTGTATATGTATGTATGTACGTACGTACGTACGTATGTATGGAACATATTCATACAGGTATGTAACAAATGGATATGTAGGTAGGTATGTAGGTAGGTGTGTATGTATGTGGGAACAACCATAAGGTGGAAAGCCCGGTTGACGGCAACTAAACACTTTAGAAAGAAGTGTCAGCTTCGTCTGGCAATTTCTGGCCATGATTTCAGCCTTGTTGAGACCTTCTGCTTTTCTGGTGCCTCCACAGCGTCGTTGAGGGGCAAAGCGTCCCCGTTGCACTCCATGGCATCCACGGAAGTACAGCTCAGCCCGCTCTGGCGGCAGGCCTCTCACGAGCAAACTTCTACGCACGGCTCAGATTGGTGTTTCTCTTCACGACCCAACGGGTACACCAAAAAGACACTCACCCTCTGTCCAATTTAGTAAAGTGCAAAGATATGCAAGATATGACCTCATTACCAAACGTCACCCAAACCATAGTTCACCTGGAAACCACAGTAAAATGCTAAGGTTGTCCTTTTGGTTTCCCTTTAAAGACCAACTGGAAGGAGGTCTGAAATCTATTTTGAGAAACTTCCACATCCAAGGTAAACAGAAAATAGTGAGGTCTGATCATTCTTCATGTTGAGTCTACTCCAAAATAGAAAATATTTCTGTTGACCCCAATCTAGGGCTTGATTCCAGGCGGAATAAGATGTTGCGTTTCTGGTTCCTTGAACTTAAATTCTAGGGCTTCCCTTTCATTCTGTTCAACCATCCTTCTTTATCGAACACCAGCTGTTTTCTCTGGGCCTCCGACGGTTTCCGGAACAAAACAAATACCTCTCATTTACCTCAGCTTGAGACCTTCTCAATCAAACATGATATGTGGGTATCAATTTCAAGTGGGGACAATCAGTTGGACGCCCCATGGGTCAAACCGGATCGCAGGGTTGGGCGATTCAACCCTACAATACAACGTGTTGAGGCCATTGCTTCAAACAGCCTCCTGTTGGTTTCCCTAAAGCGGGGCCCAAGCTGGACATGGACAAATTGATCGATCGCCCAAAACGAAAACTGCTAAAAAAAACAAAGGGCGAGGCTTGGAGTCCGGATGGAAGAATCAGTGATCCTCCAATAAATGGACTTGTCTCATTGGGGTTCGCCCACGGCGCTTCTCCTTGGCACCGGTTTTCCACCTCGCAAAAATGATGACACTTCCAGCTCCAACATTCATTTCCTTCACCCAACAAAGGATACTCACCAAAAAAAAGGCACCATCAATTTGGGTGACTCTTTCAAACTGGGTCCAACAAATAGGATCCTTTTGCTGTGCACATGATTGTCCAGTGGCGCAAGCAACCGGAAGCCGTGTAGTAGAACCCGTGAAACAGCCCTGATCTGTATATATATATATATTATACACACTTTGCAGTGGGGTGTGTCTTTTCCTGCGTATCAGTTTGTCTTGTTTCGCTCCAGCTTCTTGAAACTCCCAATAGCCCCCTTTCAAGAACAGATTGTCGCAACTCCATATGGCTTGCTATACGGCTTTCCTTTTTCAGACCACCAAAATGGATCGTGGTTTTCCTTTTTTCCTTTTGGTTTCCCCTCAAAACCCCCCTTGCCAAAGAAACTACCTTTTCCGACCGTCCGAGGGCCGGGCGTCCAGCACCGCCTTCTGCACCGCAGGCCCATGGGGCGTCCCCAGGGTCGCGGCCTCCGGCCGGAGAAATGCGTTCGGCCGAGCGTTCGGGGGAGAGATATAGCTGTGGGTCAAAACCGTTTTGGGATCCCATTTTGGGGTTTTCGGTGCACCCATTTTAGAACCTATCTTAGTGGGGATTGGGATGTTCACCGGGGGTACGGGATTTTGACCCATGGCCACATGGGTGTTCCACTTTTTCCGAGGGAACGCGGTCTTCTGCTCCTTTAAGGGGAACCAAATGGGGAAAAAACAGGGCAAGTTCTGCGGGTGCCTCCATGAGACACACCCAAATGTTGGCAACCTCGAACGTGGAACATGAGTCCCTTCCATAGTGGACAACCACCCTATGATATCTTGGGAAACTCCCATGACTACTGTGCTGCAACGACGGGGTTCCCGTGGTATCGCAGAAAGTGGCTCTGGAGACATGCCCGGCTTTCTGTGTTCAGGATGGGGGACCATCCCTAATTCGTAATCCTTAGGACAAAAGGGAAAAGACGGACATTGAAAAACAAGGGTTTTGGTGACGGGAAGATACCATCAATTGAATTTGGAACACCCCGGTTTCAGGGCTGTTCTCTTCCGGCCGAAATATCGTCAGGGTCGAAACTTGGCAGGAAAAGGAGAACCAAAGGAAAGCCACCGATCAACGTGCGACCCTTCCGATTTGCATTTTGCTTCCAAAAGGAACCCTGCCTGCAAAAGCCAAACTGAGTCGCTCTCCCCTGCCAAACAATAGGGTATTCTCCTTGCTGGCCCTTTCGACGAGCCGGATGGTACCGATACATGGACCGAGCCAAACCGAAACTGCAGTTTGAGGGCTCCCGAAATTTCACCTGCAAGCATCACCCTTCTTGTTTTGACAAAATGTCATGTCCAAAACCACCACCAAAAGGGGAAATACGGGGAATCCTGGTCTGTTTTCAAGCAAATCTGAAGGTCTTGGTTCCCGATTCTCTGTCAGTTGCCTTGCAAAGCGACTCCCCTGGAGAAAAAGCATGGGGTAGTGACAGCCGATACGTTTAAAAAAAAAGAAAGGAAAATGATTAACAAGTATTCTTAAGCAAATGGAAGGCCATAGATCACAATCAGCAAAGAAGGAATCCGAATCACCCTTCATCAGTGCGCTGAAGCATTGCAAGCCACCAGACCAAACATAAACACAAAATCAGCTCAAACACGCCCAGGTTGGCACCGGTTTGCCCGTTGCACTTCCGAACAAGGGGCCCGGTCCCCGTGATCACGTCACCCCTTGACTAATTATCTATTTAGCCAAGTATGAATTGTGATCGCTTGGACCTGCAGTCATCAAATGGAATGATCTATATCTAACCGCTCGGGTGTTCCAGTGGTTCACCTGACCACTACATTTTGAGTTCAGTTCCGTGCTACAAACCAACAAAATATGCGGGGAAACCTCCCGCGCTCTTCCTCATGTGGGTTGCCCCCCCAAATCGTGGTGTCCCTTCCTTTTCCTTTTGGAACAACCTGAAAACGGCTCCCTCAAACAAGCCAAGAAGCTTCTGTTATGCTTTGCTCAAGCAAACCACCCCGATACTGCTCGTTGCTTCTTCCTGCGGCTTCCAGTTTAAAGCAAAGGCGCCTGGCCCATGTGCGTCACCGCCACCCCGGCCACTGTCCCAACGTAGGGCCGGTCATCCTCGACAATTAAAATCTGCGAAAGTTCCCGTTGCTTGGGAAGGGCTACCTGGCAGCACCGGGTCCTGAACTCTGCCAAAAAACAGACGCGTGTTTCACATGGCAGGAAAACGAGGGAGCAGGGGGGGGGGGGGCAGGGCGAAGGTAGATTCAAATCCCTGAATGGCAGGGCTGGGCAAGCAAAATGTGTAAACAGCTTAAGCGTCGCGGGCGCCTTAAACGTTTCAACAAACGAACGTCGATGTTTCAACAAAAAACTTTAGCAGGTTGTTTAAACCCCATTGTTTAAATCAAATGAAAATGCTTAAGCGTCTGCGAACGTTTGAGAATGGAGGGCGTGTTTAAAAACGCAGCTGTGCCTGCTGGGCCCACCCAAGCACCCGGAAACAATCACTTTTGCATAATCGGAATCAAACCGTCAAAAGCAGCTGGCGAAGCACATCCGAAAGCGGAGAGCTTGCTACTCCACAGGGCTCAATGGTGCATCACAAACCCTTCAGAACTTCATGTTTAAGTGCCCCTGAAGAATCAGTGGCGTTGCCTGCAGCGTCTTTGCAGCGGCGATTCATGGCAGAAAGTACCCTCTCGCATTGCGCGGCGCCGCTTCCAGAACGGGATTGCGAATGCGGTGCCGTGAGGGCCCGTGGCTTAGAACCAGGGCCTGCACAGATGCGTCTACTCGCACTGGTTTCCAGCTGCCAAACTTGTTTAAACATTGGGGGGCTGTTTGAACACCCAGGAGCCGTTTAAACACCCCAGAAGCGCAGGCAGGTGGCCGGTCTGCTCAAGCATATTGAAACTGTGAGTAACTCCGCCTTGCACAAAACACAGTGCAACTGACTGATTAAACACCCCAAAACAGTTTAAACATGGGGGGGGCTGTTTAAACATTCAGGAGAGCTGTATACACACCCACGGACCGCTTAAACCCCCCTAAAAGGCAGGCAGGTGGCCGGAAACCGTTTGAACACCCCCCCGCAAGAAAAAAGGGAGGGGGCTGTTCAAGCACCCTGGAACAGTTTAAACACCAAAGACGTTTCAGCAGGGGGCCGGAGCTCCTTGAACACCCCGCAGCCGTTTAAGCCTCCCCCCCCCAAGAAAAAAAACGCAGGTAGGTGGCCGGAAACAATTTAAACACCCCGAAACTGTTTAAACTTCGGGGGTTGCTTGAACATCCAAGAGCCGTTTAAACACACGGTGGCCGGTCTGCTCACGCTGAAAAGTGTTACTAGCTCCTCCTTGCACAAAACACAGTGGGCGGAGCCTTGTCGAAGCACGTTTATGGTTCTATGCAAAGTCAGTCTGACGTATTGATGTTTATATAAACGGTTTAAACGACGACGTGTTTAGCCCAGCCCTGCTGCATGCGTCTGATAGAAGAGACCAGGGGGGATTAAAGCCCCTAGACGACGTTGCGCGACCAAAACCGTCAAAGATGGTGCGACACCTGCGCGAGCTAGGGTCTCAAGGCTCTCTACCTCTTCTAAATTAACAACTTTAAACATCGCCCCAAAAACAATTTCGTGTTTCCCCCTTCAATTCCACATCTTTTCTTTCAGAAGGCCGGCATTTCAAACCTCTGGGCTCGGAATGGTCGGAGCCAAACTCATCCAACATGGATCGCAACTCCTCCAAGCCAAAAAGTGGCTTGGAAAAAGCAAGCGCTTCCTTGGCCTCTCAACTTCTTGCTTCGAGCTGTAAAAGAGTCCCACCTTTTGGTTTGCCACTTGGCCCCCAAACATAGGTTAAGCCTATCAAGCTGGCTAGAATATGAAGCAAGGAACTCGCAAACCAAGGCTTCCCCATTTCGCGGGGGCCAAAAGCAAGTTCCACTGTTGTCCTTTGGCCAATCGGAACCGTGAAGAAAGAATGCCCTTAAACGGGATCCCCACAACTAAAAAGCTGCAATGTTATCCATGGCTTCTTGCGATGGCCCACTGACTTTAAGCCTTGAAGATTGGATCAAACGAGCAACAGGTCCAAGGGTGATTTGTGCGTAAAGATGTCACAAGGGTCACGATTGCGATTCCTCCGATTCCCATGGCGAGAGATCTGATTCCTCCACGAGCAGGCCATCCACCGTGTTTGTGAGCATATCCACCACACAGGAGGCCACCTGCGTACGGCCAGATGGCCACATGGCCCGCCGATGAGTACCGGTTGCCCTTCGAATAAACACATAAGATAAGATGGTATCCCCCAATAGCGACCCACAAACCCCGGACACCCCTTCTGGAACCTGAAAACGCCAGCCGCTTCGAACCACTCCAAAGCCTACCTGGGCAAAGGCCCGAAAGCTTTCAGCTGTTGGGGTAAAGCAACCTCTCAACAAAAATATGGTTATATATCCTTGAAACAAACAACGCGTCTCAGAAACAGGTCTCCGGCTGCCAAGCATCCTGGAGGAAGCAAACAGGGAGGGAGTGCACTCCCTTTTTTGTGAAGACTTCTCCGCTGAAAAGGCCGCTACCAATGGCATCACAAAAGTGCAACGGGTCAGGATGCAAAATCGAAACCACACACGCCCCCTGAGGACACCCGAAAGAATTCCCGCAAGATTGGATGCTCGATTATTGCCGAAACCGGCCCCTGTAGAGTGCAGGGCAGTTGAATATCTGACAGCAAACTTCGTGCCGACTTTGTCATGGTGGTGAACCTAGCAGAAAAGATCCATTCAGAGCCCCGCTCCCCAAACCAGGGAAGAGTATGGCTTGGCTATATTGGGAAGCTCTGATCCATGCAAAGCACAAGCAAGGCAAGCATGGCCCCCAAAATGTAGTGAGCTGCAAAACCAGCCCCAAACAAACCACAAGCATCTGGGCAAATTATAAACACAAATCACAGACCGGAAATAAAGGAACCTTCATGGGTGGACGTCGCAAAAGCCCCTGGTGACGGCGCCAAAATTTACGGGAGGGGTATCGCAACTACACAGGGTTCCCATGCTATACAGTAGGTCTCCCCTTCAAAGGCGGGTTGAAACATCACGTGTCGGTTCGTGTGTCACATTGGACTCGCAAACACGATTCTTCTGGGAACGCGGGTAAGACATGGTTAAACAAATCCCTAGTGAGCTGCCTGTCTGTTGGCACGGGTTGGAACCCCACAAGAAAGCGAGCCGCTCGCCATTTGAATCCTCCCTGGCTTTGGTCCGAAAAGCTCCCGAGTGAATTTTGCCAAGCCCAGTGACCCCAACAGAAACAGGGCCACTTTTCTTTGTCCGCTGGCAGGGAAAGGGAGTTGAGTGCACTGAACTGAGGGAATCTCCCTACGGGAACCTTTGTGAGGTGGCTAAAGCCAAACGTTTGGACCAAGCTGCGGCTGTTGCCCCTGCTTTCTGTGGGGTTGCTTGTTTTGCGGGGCTTTCACCAAAGGACGATTTACAACCCGAGGAAACGGGGTGCTGCCTAAAGTTTCTGGAGGGTAATCAATGTTGCATCCCTGTGACGGACATGGTGTTTAAGGCAAAGAATGGTAAACCCGTCACTTGTGTTGGCCCAGATTTGGGGCACGCAGAAATGCATATGTTCCGATTCTGCATCATGTTTGGTTTACCCTAAAATTTGTACTCTTTAATTAGTGGAGACCCCAGACATGTGTTCCTTAGCTTCCCGCTTGTTTTGCATCCCTAAGTAGGCCTTGTGCTTTTTCTGTAGTTGTTCAAGAGAACCCCCTCCACAAAACAAGCCACTTGAAGCCTGACACCCAAATGCCTGCTTGGCACGTCTCAAGACTTGGCCGGTGTCGATTGCCTGTTGCTGTTGTCAAAGCAAACCGCGAAGTGTTGGGAAAAGCAAACGAGCTTTGACAATGTTGACGCCGGGTTAATCAACCTGCTCCTAGAAGTGATGGAATCTTATCTAACATGGACATCCCTGCATAGGGCAACCAGGCGTCTACAAATCCGAAACATTCATCCCAGGGATCCCCCCAAAAGGACCTCGGTTTGCCCCCGAATCGGTAGAATCGCTCGCCATAAAATAGGCAGATGAATCCTGGGTTCGCATCGTGGTAAAACATCCTGGCTGTTATACCAATATGTTCGCCATTTTCATGAGGATCCGTTGCAGAACATGGCAACCCAAAACCCGATCTTCCACCTGGCAACCCAAACCCAAAAGGCCGAGCCAAGACCCGTAGGGAGCCGAGCGTGCTCGCTCTTGGACCACCCATCGCAACACCTCGCGGCAAGCTTGCAAGCCGGCGCCGAAATCTGACGAAGGGGCCGGTCCACGGTCTGTCCTCAGCATAAAAAATGGAGGCATCTCCTTCCAGTGGTTGATCATGGTTGATCCCTCTCTAAGAGCTGGTTCAGTGGGATATCCAGTACGTCCAACACAAAATTCCAGTCAAGCCTAAGGAACCGAAGGGCCGAGCTGAGTCTCACGGGAGGACTGGGACGAGATGAGCTTTGCGGGTCCTGTTTGAAGCTTCATATTTTGGCAGTGGGTCAAGAATAGGTGCCCACAATGGAACCCTGGTAAATGGAACCCAGGACTAAAACCTGCGGTCCCTGGTGGATTAATTTTGAGCCATACCCATTTAGTCTACCCTAAAGTTGCCAGGGTCCTGATACATTTGAGGGTTGGGATCAGAACTCTTGAGTTGTTAGTCACAAGATCAACGTGGTACGGATCCAAAGACCTCTGTCATGGGTCGTTATGCAGGCTACTTCGCCAGCGGTCAAAGTACTTGGTTTCCCGAAGGACATGGGACAATTACGGCGTGTCCCCTAGTTTGTGGGGACTTATATAGCCCCCCCATGTCCCCCCAGAAGAAAGATAGACCACTGACATTTGTGCACAGATCCTCTCATGCGCCAAGGAAAAGGTGCAACCACCCAAGCGGCTGAGGGAAGCCGAAAGCGGGTGGTTCCCGTTTGCCCCGAACCTCCCCCAAAAGAATGCTTGGTCGGAACCCAAACATCCACCCCCGCCCCCCGTGCTCAGTCTCCAGCTGGTCGTAGGTGAAACACCGCCTCAGCGCGTGCGATTCATCGATCGCCGGTAGCGCCAGGAGCACTGGAGTCCCGTCAGTCACGTCCAGATTCTGGACAAAATATGGAACACATGGCATGAGTAGCTAATTCGTTGCCACCCTGTTTGCTAAAGAGGGGTCTTGATTCTGTGTACGCAATTATTTTAGTGTTGGGAACATTAAAAATTATTGGCTATTCGGTAACCATAATCCAAGGGGGATGATCCCCTGACACGAATGAAGTTCCAAAAATGAGTGAATCACAAAGGGCGGAGGAACCGTTGAGTTGTCTCGTTCTCCCGCTTAATCTCAGGCAAAGCTTTTTGGATTGACAAGTCAACATACCATACAATCCTGGATTCGACCCAACTGGGCGACTCCACCCACTTCATGTCTCTCTTGTTTGTTCCAGCTGGCCCTATTCTTTTACCATCAAAGCCTCCCCAAGATGGTTGAAGCGAAACAAACCCAGAATCTGACTTTGATAACCCCTAGAACAGCTAAAACAATGACCCCAGTTTGGGGAATGGCTCAGGTACATGTGATTTCTTTTGGCACCTCAAGCAAATCCAATTGCCCTCAAGCAAATCCTTGCCTTGAACAAGCTGCGATTTGTAGAAACAAGAACGCACCTAAAGGAGATGGATATAAACCAAATGCCAGCGTGAATTTGCGCCAAAAAACTTATGCGATGCTATCAGGACAGTTTTGGAGGGCCTGTGCAGCGGTGTGGCCGGGCTCCGGGCCCCAGCTTGGTCAGATGACCCAGCGCGATGCGACCCAACCACGTCAAAGGCGTCAGCCTCAGAAACTTGCGAGGGAACCGGAGGTTTAGACAGGGAACCTCCTAGGAAACGAACAGGGATTGTTCAGTTTGAGATCATTCCCTTCCCTAACAACCAGTGCGAGCTGATAATGGTCGAACAGGGAAAACGTGTTCTGAATAAGGTGGGACAATCACATGTCAAAAGAGATGCAAACAACTCTTTGAGGCATTACATAGTTCCACCATCCCTTTACCAACAAACATCGTCTCCCTTAAACAAATGCCTCTACAACATACCTCAATACATAGTTGTATAACCAGAACATCTCACCGTAGTCAGGCCCATACCAGGCATACCTAATCAGGGGCACATGCTTGATTCTCTAGATGGGTTGAAGGCAGGTCGAGCCAGTCTTGTGCGACATGTCATCGGTTTGCGCGCCGTGTAGTTCTAACATTCACAAGGCACCTACTAGATTAACGTTCCTATGTCTCCAATGTAGCAGCTAACACAAGTAATGGGGTTCTAATGACCTTGTCATATTTTTTGGGAGATGGCTTCTCATGGCAAGGCTCCAATGACGGACCAAATGGACTTTGGAAAGGTTCCAGGTCAGTGGCGAAGGTCCCTTCACCAGCCAAAAAGGAGTCCCACTGCCTACACATGCCCGGCCAAGGTGTTTTCCGTTTGATCGCTTGAGTGAACACTTGGGTTTTTTGGGTATGGCAAAAGGATTTGGGCCCCAAAAATGGTGGCTTTTTCTTGGGTGCCCGTTTCAACCAAGGCGATGTTGGGGCATTCTGCCCCCATTGCGCTGAGCCCCAGATGCTTTGAAACACCAACTCACAGCAGCCCAAAGGCGACGGCAGGCGATGTGCAGAGATCTGAGCTGCCGCGCACTGCTACGACCCCGGTCTGGGCGTTGGCGGGTTTTCAGAGTTCGACAGTGAAAAAAACTACAATTTTGGGCCCCGTTATATTGAGACTCACTCATAAAAGCTCCATACCACCAAAACCCAAGAATCAAGGGCATTTCCAAGTATGGGTTTGGAGGGATGGCTGCCCACCAAAAAAAGCTTACGCAACAGATACTTGGCCATGCCTCCGAAACCCACAGCTCTTGATCTCACCCCTACCGGCAAATCATGCTGTTCAATTTACCCACGGCGAACCATGAGAGGCCTTTGAACAGGGCCATCTGAGGTGCAGAGAACATCATTGCAGATCCTGTGCCCGTTTTGCGCCTACCCGGCGCTTCCAAGGAAGTGCTTCCAGGCAAGCCCCCTATAGTAGGTAAGTAGGGGAAACCGTCATCCTGGTTAACTACTACAGTTACTATAGTGATCAGTGAATCACTGGATGCACTGGGCTACCCAAAAATGTCAAATGGTGTTGGAAGAGACCCCAGTGGTATCAACGGGGTATGTTTCTTTCCCCAACCCGCGGTAAATGATTGAAATGGCGCGTCCACTTGGTCAACATTCAACCCTAAACTTAGGATTTGTTCTTTTTTGTTTTATCATTTTAGTCAAGGATATTGCGAAACATTGACCTGGTCAAAGGGGTGCGCTATATCCAAAACTAACGGCAAATTATGAAAAGGGCGATTCCTGCACCTATGCATAGTTGAGACTGTCTCCTGATCGTGGCTGAATTGGGCACCCTCCCTTTCTTGGCTGCATGTGTGCGGCAAAGTGAAAACCAAAAAACAAACCTATCTGGCAACACATGCCACTCGTGTTGCTGTGTCAAAGCGACACATGCATGGCCATTCAGTCTTGGAGAACTTTCAGAGACGAATGAGTGTGAGTTTCAATGGGTCTCGGACTCGAAATGGATATCAACAATTGAGGATTCATGTCCACCAATTCTTGAGGTTCCAACTCTTCAGATTCGCCAGATCGGTCCCTAAAAACGGGAAACAGGACTCCATTGGTGGCCAGCTTTCTAACTTGGGCCGTTGATCTTGAGGCTGGTATCAACCCTGCAAATAATTGGAACCTAGCTGAGCCCGTGGAAGTTCAACTTAGAAGACCACGCCTTCTTTTGGAAAGAGGGGCTCATGCCGAGTTGAAAGGAGCCGTCGACACCCATGAACGCTTGATACGATTTCGGTCCCAAACCAAAATCCTCGTTCACCCCCTTTCCCGTTTCCTTTATGTCAGTGCGGAAACAATTGTTTTCCAACAGCTTGCACTACTTCCGGTTTTGCCCCCCACCAAGCCCAAACGAAGTTACTAGGCTTGGCCACGGTCCAGATTTAGTGAACCTTAAGAGCGAAACATTGTCTTGAACAACCAGCCGGCCCCCTTCTATGAAAACGAAAAGGAGGTGGTTGAAACAAGTGGGCGTGCCTTTTATGGTGGACCTCCTTTCAGTCAACTTGTCCGTTGACACTAAAAAGCAACCTATCATTTTGGGAGCCAGACACCCCACACCCCCGTTGTTGCAACACGTTCAAAGCCAATCCTGGCGAAAAACTGCAGGGACCCCTAAAAGTGACCCGAGCCCCACGTGGAAGAGGGCTTCCATTTGTTTGAAGACCCAAGGAAAAAAGATACGTGTCCAGTAATGATAGTGCGATTCCCTTTGACACCAACATATATAACAAGTATTCTGCATTGCAAATGGAAGAGGGAGTTCAAGGTTCATTTGTCCAAAGAGGTCAATGGGCAAACCCTGGCCCTTCTGTCCATCATTGCTCGTCGCTCTCGGAACGAGCTTGCCTCTTTTCTCCGGATTGGCGTCAATATGGGCAGGCGCGAAACGCCGATGGAAGACCTGCTCTATGAGATAGCCAAAAAAGAAGAACCCTGGTCACAGAGCTCCTTGGCGCCACTTGACTTTCCCAGGCTCACCGAGTCTTCCTGGGCTCGTCTCTGCGGCGGCGTGGAAGGGGCGCCCTGGAATGTCACGACCACCGGGCGCGAGTGAAGTATGCCTCGCTTGCAGAACTGGAAACGAAAGGGCTGCCCTTTGGAGCGGTGATTAAACACGTCCGAACAAAAAGAAAGCACATGGTCAAATCAAACGGTTCCAACATAGGCCGAAGCTGGAAACCACACTGAACCGGAAGGCTTACTCAAGAATAGATCGAACATAGAAAACAAACAGGTAACGATAGATTCACCATTTTCAACCGCGACGTTCAAATGTGAACACTATCCTCCAAAACCGCAGTGCTGATGAAAAGTGGTAGCCAAAACAAAACAAGCTGAACGTCAAACGTGTCCGAAATAAACAAAACATACAAGCACCATACTCGAGCACCGATACATGGAAGCCAAAATGTGCTTGGTACCATGACTGATGTCTACGAAACATACAAGCGAACAAGCGAACTGGCAAACAAGCAAAGAAGCAAACACGCAAACACACAAACAAACAAACAAACAAACAAACAAACAAACAAACA